TCTTCCTTGCTAGTTTCCTCCTTATCTAAAGTTCCTCTCTTCTCACTCCCAGGGATCTTCTCACTCCTTTCCTTATATCCTCCATCATTTGTCCTTTCTATCCCTTCTGTAAACCCCCTCTGCATTTCCTTCCTTTCCACTTCACCCATTAGACCCTCAATGATTTCCCAAATCTTTGTCTCCCTACAAGTTTCTCCACAACTTCCTCCCCTTCCTTATCCCCTTGTACCCTCACTGTGGCTTTCTGACCATGGGCCTCGGACACTTGGTTGAAAAAGGAACCTGGAACAAGGGACACAGAGCACTCATCAGTAGCACAAACTGAATTGACAGAGTTAACAAAAATACCTGAAATCAACTGAGGGTGGAGAGGGGTATTCAAACGAGGAAGATTGGTTGTCACTCCCTGTTCAGAGAAATTGGAGCTCTCTATCTCCTCGGATTGGAGGAAAATAGTCCCCGTCACTTGGTCTGCTCAAAGACCTCTTCCTGTACCCAATTGTTTACCTCTCTGTGATGTACTCTTGTTCAGTTCAGAGTAAACCCGGGCTGACTCCTTCTCGGATTCTTGCAAGACACTAGAACTTGGGAGGGGCACGTCCAGTTTTGGGCTAAGGACTGCTCTGTTACAGGTGTTTGTTTCGTTCATCCACTCCTCCCCTTTTTCCTTTTGTTCCCCCACTGCTTCCTCAAGAAACAGAAGTTCCATATTTAACGTTCCCCTGTTTTGATCTTCAATATTATCTTCATTTTCCGAGCTGCCCAAACTTTCAAACTCTTCTGAATTCTCATCACAATCATTCTCTGAGCTACAGCTTATCCATCCTTTGTCTTCCTCTTCCCTCTCTTCTATTTTGTTCCTCGCATAACGCGGGTTTGGGCGATCGAAACCAAGGCTTTGCTGCTCGTCACCGGCCTGTCTACATACCCAACTCAGAGTCCGATTACCCCGTCACACGTCTGTTCTGGTGTTTCAGGTGTTCGGCCGAACCCTCCTTAGACGATGAGAGATGACAAGTTTCATCTATCATCGAGTTTTCACAAAACCGCCCCACGTGATAACTTAAGTTGTCACGTGGGCCTCTTAAGGTGCAACCAGGTTCCTTAAAGGGTAGGCTTCGATACACTATACAAGTACCCTCCCTGCGACTGTTCCCCTTCCTCTTTCACTCTCGCATGTGCATCAGACTTCCCCTCCAGTCCCTGAGAGCCATGTGTGCTCCAACCTGCGAGCTCCTCTCCGTCTCCTTCCTCTGTTCGTCTTCCCCACAGCGACGCCTCAGCTTCT